AACTGGATTTCATATAAAAGGAATATTTACTTTGTAAGGACAAAAATAAACATCAGCATCGTGAATTTTTGTCTTCAAATAATGTTGCTGGCTTAAGACAAAGTTGAACGACGTAGGTAATTTCATATGACTAAGTAATGACGATGGGAGGTATAGGTGTGTACGCTGTAGTTATGTATTAAAAAATAAAGTGTCCTTTCATGCCACATACGTCAGTCAGTGAAGAAATGATAAAATAACCGATTGTAGAGGAGGGATGATCTTTCCATTGCACAAATTATACACTATCAAGGATAAAGCAATAATTTAGCTACTATTAATATTTATGTCAGTTAGCAATCACAAATTGACGCTCCATTAATCTATTTGTAACAGAGAATTATTTACTCAACTTATCCAACAGGTGATTAACCTGACCTAGCAGCTAACACTGGAGCTCCTATATCTAATGTAAATATTTCAACATCTTTATCTATACTAGCTTAAATCTAAATCCGATATCAGTCAATCTACGGCTCCTTTCTCACGACACCAATTATCGTGCGATGAAGGAGCAAAAACCCAGCTTGTGGTTAATGGCTGACTTGCAAGTAAGTGGTGTCTCAGGTCACAACGCGGGGAGTCGCTACAGAATTTCATTAAGTGTGACTTTGAACTCTTTATAGTATCACAAGAAAGTGCAATTTATATTACCAATCAGGACAGGACGAAATCCAGCCAGCCAATAACGAAATTAATAAAAAAATACATAATTACCTACTTTTATTAACAATAAAAATACGTTTAATTGTAACATTTACTATCATACTAGTTCTTAGTTATCGTAATAAATGCAAACATTGCGATTTCTTAAGAAACTTGTTTTATACTACCCACTCCAAATTAGCGCAAATAGGTATTATAAAATAACAAAAAGCCTTGTAATTCTCTAACATAGTAAACAATAGATCCACTTTTTTCCAGTTACATACGTTACTTACATTAGACTAGGTATTTCCTAAATCATCGTTGATCTAGTTATTTCCTCGACCGGGCACAACTCCCAACTAAGTAACTAACCTAATATAGACTAACAAGTCTAATTAAAGTTGACTCTTGCTTAGGTTAGTAAGAATTGACGTTCTGGTGCATCTTAACAGGAATTCTTACGACAGAATTATGTCATGTCACTTAATACACGCACGATAGGCCAGGCGGACTATAAGTTCCCCGTGACCCGGTTAGCAGTAAGCAGGCCAGTCTCTGCCGGTACTCGCAACGATGCCGCCGTTATCTCGACTACTTCACACATCTGCACTAGGATCATGCTAATTCCTGCAGATTTCCAAGCAACTTGGTTATCGATACAATTCCTAGGAATGGGATTATCACTGTCTAACAGTACGGAATCAGATCCAGTTAGTAGTAGTAACGAGATTAGTAAAGAGAAGACTATTATGCTTATTAACGCAAAAGGTTACGAAGATATTTCTTTTGTCTAATGACTAATTTAATGGTATTGTTTAGATATAATACCAACAAAGAATGTGGCAGTTAAATGATGATGCATGGATTTGAGATGTAAAACGTTTTTTAACACAATAGTATCTAGATGTGTAGACGATTACGATTAGAATAATTGCAATGTCTGCTTACGAGTGGTCGAGTGAAACTCAATGGTATTTGAAGTGAATCAACAAAAAACTGCTGTGACTATCTCTATAACATTCGGAACAGTTTCCGCTGACATTTTGTCATGCTTTCTTGGGCGAAGTAACTGTACGTAAGTGTATTTAAATAACGCCAATTATATGAGAGTAAAAGTTTCAAAACTACTCGTTGGCTAACTTTGATTTTTCGAGATTAAATTTTTAAACTAGCTGAAGTGAAGGACTGGGTTAGCAACTAGCCAGGTACCTACTCCTAGCTGAATAGTCATTCATACGATGAGCCTAAATAACGCTTACGAAGCCGACAGCAAAAAAGCTTTGAAAACGTAAAAAGGGACATTTTCGAGGACAATACAAAAACACGCGTTCAGGTGAAATTACATAGAATTCCGTCGCCTATACGAACTCGCGGGCTGCTTATGGGTATGGGACTTAAATTTTTGACGGCATATTCCATATAATGTGTTCACAACTCTATTCGGCTTTGAGTTGGCCACAAAGGCGGATGGATCAAGTTTTTCAACTGGCTCGAAGCAATTAGCCACGGCCAGTAGGGTGGAGATCGTAGGCGCGACCCGAGGCGCGGCGCGGGCTCCGCGCAGCCCGATCAATCAGCCCGCACTCTTGTGGTAATTAATTTACTATAGGCCGTGCCCATCCAAGCTCCGACCTATAAGTTCATCAGCTGGAATTGGTATCACTCGTCCTCAATTGGCATGCAGGTAGCGCGAGCAGGCGCGAATATCAACTTGTTATTGTCGCTTGATATTGCTCTATATTAAATTACCCAAGAACGTGTATGCAAGGACGTAGTGCGATTTCTCGTTTTCTCTTTAGTTTACAATACCGATGTATTCTCTCGAGACGTCGGATTTCTCGGAGTTTGTTAACATAAGTTACTTAGTTATTTGTCTGTTTACATCTTAATTTTATAATTGCAATTTACTTTATTTATGTACATGTCACATGTTAGTCATTCAATATCATGTAGGTTCTTTGTCCCTTAGACGGGGTAGAGGGCGTTCACAGAAGACCTTTATCTCGATCGGTCTTGACATTACATTTGAAAATTTTGACTTGATTACCTTTACAATTTCTTTTTTCTTAATACTTTCTTTTACTTAGTATAAATATAATTACGATGTCTTTGGTATAATAGGTACATTTGGTATCCTACTTACTACTAATGTCGTTGATAATGAAAAACGATCAGTCGTAAAATTCTTTTTAGTTATTGCCGCTTTCTACTGCGTGGATCGCTGTTATTCTTAGACTGATAGATAGGTACGTACGGAGTTGTTATGACAATGTACTATCGTGATTGTCTTGTCACCGACGAGCAATGATGAGACTTGTTACATGCGAAGATGAGCATTTATAAACGAGAGTAAAACGACACTTTTCAGTTAAAAGTAAATTATAGCTGGCTCGAAAGGCTAACACAAAGATTTCTATCTTAGTAATATACAGATGGCAGACCAGACCAAAATACCTAGATTAAGATACCCAGAAAGGATTCGAAACAACTAAAATGTTAATGTTAGGAGTTCCTATTTGCATTCAACGGACGTGTACAAGGTAGGACTTAAAGGAGAAGAGCGCGAGGCGGGTTTCAGGGCTCTCGACCGGCGATCAACGCGGTCTCAGAATAATCAGGCGTGCCTCCCCTCGTCGCGGTCGTTCACACACAATCGACACGGCAAGCGCCATGAGGGACCTACCTACGCACGACGAGTCGACACAAAGCATCCACCCATACCTAACAACCGCTACCCCGATGCACGAATGTAGCACTACTTCAGGGCGCTTCACACAGATCCAATATTCTCGAACTCATACCTAGATCCAATGACTTAGGGACGAATGTTGCTTGCAAGACGGAACCACGCGTTCACTACCTCCGCTTCGATAACAGAAATCGAAGTCATCAATATAAAAGCTAGCTAAAGGCGTGAGCAATAAAGCACAGTTTCATTTGAGTGGTGAATTCGTCCGTCCGACGCAATGTGCATTCAATTGCTAGCAACATGAATATTGAAAATCGCTCTTATGTCGTTCACTCTGAATCGAATGCCCGTCGCCGGCCGGTTCCAACACCACGTGTTTACAGAAGCCAACTGGTGCAGATTAGACTCGTGAACTGCCTAACTTCAGTGCATTGTAAACTTTTGTAAACTTTCAAAACTTGTTTAGTTCGACGATTGATGAAAATAAAAGCTTTAAAAGGTTTAGTTTAAGTCATAAATGGTCCTGCTCGTTAAATGGAAGATTTGAAATGCAATCGTAGCTTTCTAGGTTTAACGGTTGCATCGTGTTCCGAGGTAGTAAAACGAACAGTAATGATTGCTTGGTGCGCTTTACTTATAGACGAGGCGAGGAGCACTCAAGTAGTGACTATACGATACTCAGGGTAACGGTACGAATAGCCTTTGTTTCTTGAAATTGCTTTGGGACTTTTCAGAAAGCAGATTATAGGCTTATAGCATCTCAATGTGAGATTATTTAAGCTCTAACTAAAGCAGGTAGGTGGATAAGTAAGTAGGTAGGTAGACAGCTATTTGGAAAGTTTCACATGCTACATTTTACTCTCAGAGTTATGGGAGATTGTCGCGTAAAACTTTTAAGTGCAGCACTGAGCTATTACGGGTCATAAAATCCAAGTCGATAAGAACGACATTGTATGAGTTTAGTTATTGCAAAAAATGGTACCTGAAATATGAATACAAGACCAACTGCCGCGTTGTATTATTCTTCAGAGGAAATATGAATTCAAAATGTGGGTTCCTACCCTCCTAGTTATACATGATTAAATCTTAGCAAACACCTAAAAAGTTACATTGGTAGACACATAGGCATTTCAATAAGTTACTTTGACTGTGAAGGAAACCTTCGTTGGATCTTTTAAAGTTACAACGTGTCAGCAATGTAGCCTCACTACTTTAGAGAGTAGGAGGTCCATGCCGCCCCTAAGGATACCCACTGTAGGTACCTTAACTAAATAGGTACTTTACAATCTAATTAAAAAGGTACCTGCCTACCTGCACAGATGTTGTATTAATCCAGTTAAAACTTGAAGATACCTATTGTTTTATTTCGGTGAATACCTATCAACTAAACGTAGGTATACAATAGCCGTGTGAAGTCAGATAAAAAATCGAAATAAAACCGTACTAGATTCGAAATAAAACAGATTCAAATTCACTAATTTGCTGCACTCAGCAGATCAAGTTCTTAATCTTAACTCGATTTAAAATCCTTTGTGTTAAGAGGCTTACGAATAAAAAACACTACAATTGGTTTGTATGTGACGCGGGCAGTTTGAAAATATAAACAACAACAATATTGACTCACCATACAACACCGAAGGCGCCATAGCCGATAGGGCGGTCGGGTTGCACGTCTGTCGGGATGGCCGGCGTCTGATAGTAGGGCGCCGCTGCCGCCAGGATGGCGCCCTGCGGCGCGCTCTGCGTACCGCCCTGCATCAGCGACATGGACACACTCATGGAGACGCGAGAGTGCCGCGCGGGGCCGCTTACAGCCGCCATCCAACCGCTCAGCGGCGAGCCGTCACCGCAGACTCATCACACGGTGAATCTTACGGCCTCAACACTGCGCCTGATCACCAGCCTTTGCCTCCCAGTGGACACACGACAATATCACCGGTTACTTCTTTATTATTCATGCTCGATTGACTATGCGGGAATCACTAAACAACACACGGAACGTTAGAACACCTGTAGATTACACCAGTTATTTCACGATTAGGCGGGGAGTTTCTGTAGTTGTTACGAGTTATTGTAGAGTTTGCTTCTTCCTGGACAAAGGATGACACCGTGAAAATAAAGTCACGCCGCGTACAGACGTCCACACGTCACGAAAATCGAGCGAAACTGGTTGAAACGAGGGGAGAGGGGAGCTGCGAGGACGCGATCTAAAAAGAGACAGAAAATAACAATGGCGACGAAGCGCGATGAACAGCTGTGCTTTCCAACCAACAAGAATTCCTTTTGTGGAAAATATGCTTGGATTTACGTCTTACAAAATGGTAATTTAAAATCCTAATTATAGTAAGCAAATAGTAACGAACCAACTTTATATATTCAATGAATATTTTTTTAAAATTACAACTTGACAAATTGTTTTATTTTTTTTATTGGCGCTAGTAGTGTTGACTTCGTTTGACAAGACGCGATCTTGTCAGGAAGTTCGAAGTTTTAAATTCAAATCAAAACTTTTTTGTACTTTCTATTTTAAGTAGATTATTCTAATACCACCAAAAGGATATTTTTTCTAAGTTTCCAACACATGAGCAAATTAGCTAAAACGTTCCTTTTAAGTTTACTCATTTATTTCTGCAGAAACTGTACATAAGCAAATGCTTAACTTGAAATAGAAATAACTATTCGTACCTAGTAGGTATTCGTCGAATTTCGGCTTATCCTAGCTGGAGACTATCGTAAACGTATAACAACTTTGGCCGTCAATTCTTTCACACGCGATCCACGCTGCATTATTTGTTTGTTCTAGACTATTTTTTTAAGTTATTCGTACTTTAGTAGGTACTTAATTACCTAGATAAATACAGTAGTAAAGTAAACTCAATGAATAACTAGTGTGCGTAAATTATGTGTGGGTATTGGAACAATTCGTCACTCAACTTCGATGTTTGGGGTTTGGGAGTTGGGGATCGCAGTTGGCGACCGAAATATTTAAGGAAATTGCCGTCTCTCGGTTGCTGATCAGTTTCTGGACATTTTGTATGAGATAGTCCGCCAAACAACTACAAGGGCGCCGACCATGGAGACCCGTACCACTAGGAGAGTTACACGTGCGCTACCTACCTTTTGGGTGTTTTAGAGGATTGCGGATAAAGGTAGAGGAGGAATGATTGGGCAGGATAGAGTTAAATAAAAATCCTCGATAATAAATATCAATTATTTTATCACAGAGAATCACATTGTGTTATACAACATATTTACGTGGCTAGTACAAAATATCCCTTACAATGATCCTTGTCTATGCATATACATATTAGTAAATCCTTAAAAGTTTTCAATTACAATGGAAACACTACTACAAAATACTATCTTTGTTCAATAGTTGATTACTGACTGCAGAAAAGTTTTATGAAAAATGTCATGTTATTTAATATTTAAGATGCAATAAAACATTTTTCGACAATAAACACTTAATCTGCAGTAGACTTTGTATGTATACAATGTTGATATAAATTGTTTGAAAGTAATTGCACTAAATTAACAACGAAATATAATTTTATACAATAAAATATGCTGTTATAAACTACAGACAAATAAATACAACACATAGGGACACAAAATCTATAATAATATTGCAAATTATTACTATTGAAGACCTTAATTGTAAAATATGATGATCTAAAATATTATAGTGCAATAATTAAGTGACAAAAATAATAGTGACTCTAGGGTCCTAAAAATATAAAACAAATGAACAGTCCACTATAATAATGTGTAACGTTGAAAATTTGAAATAATAATATTACTCAGTGAGTCTGAATACATTTAATTATTACTGTAGACATTATTATAAGTGACTGTACGCTAATATGATTGTTTAACTTGTCTCACCACTTCTTGCATTGCGTCGTTATTTAGATTTTACTTGCATTATGTATGTACTATTAGAACAAAAATAATCTCCTAAAAATATCAGCCAGTATATTACGAATTTTGATCTTTTAGAAATGACAATACAAAAGCCAAAACCTGTACATAAATAGGTAAATAAAATAAAGTTTAATATTAGTAAAAGTTAAACTAACATGTTATTGTCTATATACACCTATTTATACATTGGACTGGATTATTTAGAATTCAGTTTATCAATTTTCACCGTTGATATTGTACACGCTATGGGTAAATGACGAGATCTAGGTTTCAAACGTACATTCGTTCTACATACAATAATATAATTCGTATCAGTAATGTAGGCTTCCAATTACCTCGTACCACATACTCGTACTTACATAGGCCTAATCTGTATAAGACGCGGCTGTACATAGAATATTTCCACAAGAAAGTGTACCACACGAAAGGCGAATACATACCGCCTGTGGTAAGTCCTTCTGTATTGCTAATTACAGGTAAATATAAAACCCGTACCAAACGGCCTATGCGCCCCATATATTACTTCAGAATTCTAAAATCGAATACATGTCATAGATACTAGTAAAATTAAGTTACTGGCCTATAAAAAGAATTAACATCGATAATAGTGCAGCAGTCACACACAATTTTGCTGAAGCTTAGTCTATGAATATATGCAACATAATTAATTACCACACAATAAAATAATTATACAAATCCGATTTCTTATATTAGTCTTTTCAATGTACTCCGTTAGATATTTGGCGGCGTATTCTCTATAGCTGGCCTGCACTGTACCAACCCTCGTAATGATTATTGCGATTTCTGGTACATAAAGTACAAAAAGAATGTAAAGGTTGGTGCAGTGTAGACTCGGCGTTAGGCATTTTTTTTTTGAGATCGTCGTTCAATTAGAAAGAAGTGTTAAGGAGCAGCCTATACATATCAGTTCTGCTGCATCACGATTAAGTAATTTGAAGAGTTTTGATAGAAAGAAGAATCGTGAGTGAACTCTCTGCTTCCAACTGTTCTTTGGTTTAATTTTTGTGCACAAAACTGTGAATGAACTCCTTAGTATAATAATTTAGAGTTTGAGCACACATTACAGTTGATACTACTTTATGTAAAATCTCACCATGGCTTTAAGATCGACAAAGTTCTTGTTATAACGTGAAAATATTAAAAACGGTGAAAGTAGTGCTGTGCAACCACATTGACAATTCGGTGCGACATAGGATTAAAAATGTTTAAAATTGCCACAAACCAGTGCAAAGGTAAGAACGTATGAGTATTAATTATTTGTACCTGTTTTAGAGAATATTGCCACACTGGCAGTTTAGAAGACCAGCTTCTTATTTTTGGTGTAAAAAAGGAAACGCATGTCTGCATTATCACTGGCCTCAAACAAGGTCGAGTCTTTGTGAATAAAATATATCTCCTACCCTGCGATTTGGTATTTCATGAGTTTGTCATCTGTGGATCATTTACGAGAATTCAGTTGAGGTAAGATGTACTGAAAATATAAGGCAACTTTATCAATTTTCCATCTAGCAACACTAATCTTAATATTAATCTCAAACTCTATTGAGTAGTTCTAGTTTCTATAAATGATCTTACTTGATCAATAATAGTATTATTACATAGTACCTAATATAAAATATGTAACCATGGAATGATGCCTCAATAAAATTCTTGTAAATAGACCACACAAGGAGTTTTCCTTCGATTTAGAATATCCAATAACACAGTTCAGACCACGATATACAAAGTTTAGCATTCCAAGACACAGATTCCATCAATGATTTTATTGCTTACTGAATAGTAAATCATCTTTTGCATTGATAAATGTTATTTTATCTTCATTATTTCTGCCCATATAAAATAAAAATTCTATATAAAATCATATTAAAAAATATAATACGATAATTTATCGATTTGGCACAGATAAAATTATAAATTGGTAGAAATTACTGGCAACATTGGATTGTTTTCCTACACCAAAGTGAGGAAAACTATCAGAAGTTGCCATACCGCTGTAGTAGCGCAATTTCTTATGATGATTAATGTCTCAGAATGCCATACCTGTTACTAAACCATGGAATAAGACATGGAGTAATCATCGTTCACATGTTAGTAATGATCTTTCGTGTTCTCTGCATTAAGACAGTTCAAAGCCGGTGTTGCTATTGACGGCGTAACGTAGTTTGTCACGGAGAGTGCTTCGTTTCTGATAGTTTGGCAGCTTGAGGAGGTTGAAACAAGTCGACGATGTTGGCAGACGGTTCAGTGGATCCTTCTTTCTAATTGTGAAGAAGCCTCGGATCACGCTACCTGTTAACAAAAGGATAGTATGATGAAGGGATGGACGCTTCACGTTTTGGATAACCATAGATATAAGAGATATAATCACACCTTTATAGTTTATATCGGTTATTATCTATGGTACTTTCGTCTTGTCGTTTATATACTGTGCTGTGTCATCCGTTACTATAATTTTGTTTAAAATATTTTTTTCATTCTCCAAATTGGCCCATATGTTATTTCATCATAGAAAAGATATTTATAGCTCAATGTAACAGCAAGTAATTTTCTATTGATAAAATTTAATTATAACGTGTTGATCATAACATTATTATATTAACTCGAAAGAAACTACTCAATCATATTTAATATGTTCAAAATTTAACCGATTTTTATCAATTCGAACTTATTTAGACTTTCTTTTTACCAAGAAATTGTTTTGTTCAATAGTTTACCTATTGTATCTCCAGTGTCTTCGTCGTCTCCAACTTCAACGCATCGGATCGAGAATGGCGGCTTGAGGTGGGCAAACCCAAGGACTGGGGGCTTGGAGCATGACGTCACGAACTGAGGAAAAACGTAATCGATCTAGTACTAACAATATGAGCTCCGAGCGCGGCTTGAAGGTAGTCGAGTTACCACGTGAAACAGTTAAGTGAGCAGTTTACAGCCATAAAACATGACTAATTATTTAAAATCATACAAACTACTGATACAAATTCCTAAAAAATACGGAAAATTGGCATATATATTTTATAGGACATCGGGCAAACAAGCCGACCATTTGCTAAAATCTAATACAATTGACATATATCTAGAGTTATTAGTCATTTTACGTATCTGTGGTGCTAAGCATAAAAACTATTTTATGTTCAGAGTTCAAGTTTCAAAGTTCCAACGTTGCCAGGCTATTAGAGTTTAACAGAGACTATATTACCTTGAGGAACATGCCGCGCTCATGTTCCGAGAAGTCCCGTTGCAATACATCCCAGAGCCAGCAGACGACGCGGTGCGAGTCGTGGAACCCGCCGTAGTACTGCGTGTGACGACGCAGGTCGCGCAGGTCCAGGGGCACGTTGTCGCCGCTGATCAGACGTTGTAACTGAACCAAAGATTATAAATGTTATGTAGTAAGAGGGCTAATAAGAAGGATAATACGGAACGGTCCGGAAAAACGCCGACAGGTGATGGTCTAAAACAAGTTATATTTTAACATAAAAGTAAGGAATTAAAATGTTACTTTTATGTAATTGTAATAACAGGTTTTCGAGAGGTTTCCGTTTACACCCTGTATAGACCCCAAGGTCCCGGGACCCTAGTAAAGCATTTACCAAATTCCGTGTCAGCTCCGAAGTTCGCGTTGTCTCTAATTACATTACCCAATGAGCAGCGTCAGAGAAGAATATTTTGACGTGACAACGTCTTATAAATTGGTTTGCCGGATGACACTTCAAGAAACTGCGTTACGCGCCGCTCACGTTATGCGCTCACAATGAGAGCGAGTGAGAGGCACGCGTCCCTTCCACTCGGGCATGGTTAGCCCGCCTAAGAGCGAGAGAAACAGACATAAAAAGTGAAAGGCACGCGTCATTTTACTACTCAAAGTCGTTGTCACGTAAAACTTTCGCCCGTATACCGACTTTACAGGCAACCAATTTTTTAAAAAGATAAACTTTTTATAAGCCTATTTATCGAGCAATGTATTATACTTCAATGTGGAACCAGCATCCATCCTGGCAGGGTCGCCATGCAAAGTGTGGCAATGGAGAGACGTGATGTTCTTACAATTAAGTGTCCTAATAACTAACTTAGACTACTTACTTATAGGGCGAGGTGTACACATAGTACTACAATACTTTTTTTTGAGGGGGGAAAATTATCCAATGACATCTTCCGCCCGGGTGAGGCGGGAGGGAGTGTCAGACTCTTACTGACTAAAAACCACCCCGTTCCTACTTCTGCACTTCGAGCCGGAGCCCCGGCAACCCGTTAAGTCTTCCGCGGCTCCGTATCGGCATCACCCATGCTCGCCGTCCGCAGGCCCGTGCTTACTACTACAATACTAACCTCAGGTGTGGAGAACAGTGACAACCACTCTGGGTTGATGATAGTTCTGAATCCTTTGATGAAGGCGTTAGTTTGGTCCTTGATCTGAGTGTGCATTCTGAAGTGCGCCATCAAGTGAATGTAGTTTATTCTGAAATAAAAAAAAACAAAATTGTAGCACAAATGTGACTTCTCTTATCTACGTTATAATAAATTGTAACAAGTAATAGTGTTTGTTTCATTTGATTTATGTATTACCAAACAATAGCCTACAATATATTTTTTAAGTTCCACCTGTTTTTAATTCAAAGAATTCGTAATTTCTATGTTTAGGTTCTTTAAAGCTATTATTTATAGTAACAAAGTAGAACGAAGAATCCATTATTATAGTAATTAAGGGCTGATTTTTCAATCAATCAGTCAATTCTGAACTGAAGAATAAAATTTACATTGGACAGTTTTTAGTATGGAAGAATTATCATAATATCATATTCATAATTCATTTGGCGTTTGAAAAATCGGCCCTAAGTAACTCTAGATTGATGGTATTTTTAGTTTATGATGTTCCTTACTTGTTTTCATTAGTGACAGGCACTGCCTTCCCGCCGGGAACTAGTTCGTGAGTGACTATTTCCCCGAGCCTCTCCTCGTCGACTGAGAACGTGAGCTCCAACGAAGATATATCGCCCTGTAACCAAACAATGATTTCAAAGACAGATCTACGTTGTTAACCTAATTTAATATCTTTTCAGTCTTTCTAATAAGATACGATACAGGAAATAACAACACAGTAAACCAGAAGAACTTATTTAAAAATTATATCTTTAGTAGCCATTATTACCAATAAGTCGTTTTAGTGGTCTCATATTTTTGAGTACATACATACATAACATCACGCCTTTTATCCCTGAAGGGGTAGGCAGAGGTGTACATTATGCCACTGTACAATGTAACACCCACTTTTCACTATTTATGTTATGAGTCCCATGTAATAGGGGGTGAGCCTATTGCCATGTACCGGGCACAATTCGAGACTCCGTGCTACTACTGAGAATTTTTTAAAAACCCAGACCCCTTGCCCAGTATTTGCACTTGCGACCACTCGGTCAAGGAGGCAGTCATTTTTTTGGGTACTTTATCAAAATTAGTTTCACAACTGCGAAAAAGTTTGGCAACCAGTAGTATTCAACTATTGTCAGTCAGCTTGCAACTGTTGAATAAAAGAAGCTAAAGAATCAAGCTTTCGTGCATACTTGGAAATGTTTGATGTACGTAAGACTGCGGTAGAGGTCCCTGTCGAGCGAGGGCAGCTCGTCGATCCATGAGTACAGCGCCTGCTGGGTCTGTCCCAGTACTTGGCTCAGGAAGAACGACGCGAACGGCACGTCCACTACTATACCCTGCTCACACAAACAAATAATACAAAAATCCATTATTACATAATTACAAACACATATAAACAAAGATTACATTATCTTTTAGTTTGTTTTTGAACTTCTCAATGAAAAGGTCATTTGGAATCATAGGGCAATTTAAAGATCAAAAACGGTTATTATTTTGTCACTATTTACAAAAAATAATTAAGTACTTAGTTAATAAAAATTAAAAAGATTAAGAAAAAATGCGCTTCCAGTAAGAAAGATATATTTAAGAAAAAGTAAAAAAAAGACTGTAATGGTTGTCAAGAAACTTAAAATAAAATAAATAGGTACTATTATTTTAAAAACTACATTACAATTTCAATGGAACTGACCTCATAAACAGCTTTGCCCAGCATCCTCCCAATGAACTCGAACAGTTGTAGATGGTTGTCCTGCAGACACGAGGTGGGCGACGGGTACAGTCGCTCCTCACTCGTCACGCGGAACAAGTTCAGCGACGGGTCGAACACACGCTTTATCGTTTCTTCTAGGAATTCTACAAATTAAAAAATGTGTGATTTACATTCGTAAATATGTATTTTGAGAAATAATAACGGAAAAAATGAAAAAATGGTGGATAGATTGTATATATAAGAAAAACGTAACGTTTGATATGAGAGTACAGAAAAAGAAAACATATTTTGCCGAAACCAAACAACATTATAAAGAATAATAGAAAGGAAAAATCAAATAAGCGTTTATAATAAATTGTTAAATTAACTATACATCTATAGAGATAAGTAAAATTGAAGTGTCTGTTTGTAATATTGAAATAAACGCTTTTAACTACATGCAATTGAATATACATTACGATACATAATACCAAAAAAACACATTTTACAATTTTTGTCTATCTGTCTGTCATTTGTACTCGCTTGCAATGGCTGGACCGATTGTGACGGGATATTTATTGGCAGGTAGCTAATTTACTACATAGCATACTTTTATTTTAGAAAAACGCAGACGAAGTTGTGTGTTCGGCTAGTTATTAATATGTTTAAACTGTCAAACACCAAGCGGTCACCGGTGACCGCGACCTATTGTTCTTTAATTGTGTCTATAAAACCGGTACTCGACGAGTTAATATAGGAATAGTTACCTTTGAAAACTCCATCCTGGTCGATGCCCGCCTCGTCCAGTCCCTGCTCGTTGATGAACCGCACCCGGACGCAGCCCTTGAGCGCGCGACTGGGCAGCGCGGCGAGCTGCCTGTACCCGTCCTCCACCAGCCGCGCGCGCCGCACCGTCACCAGCGTCGACCGCCCGCCGCACGCGCGCTCCGTCAGGCCCAGCACCACCTGCGACCAGATTATACATTTTATTTCTGTTAAAAGATACTTAGTTTGGGAGACAAGGTTGCTTCATCTTCATCTTATACTATTATATAAAGCGGAAGAGTTTGTTTTTTTGTTTGAACGCGCTAATCTCCGTAACTACAAGTCTGATTTGAATAATTCTTTGTGTTGGATAGCGCATTTATCGAGGATCGCATGGCTATAGGCTATAAAGCATTACGCTACGACCAATAGGAGCAAAGCAGAGCGTGTGAAACCGCGCGGAAGTAGCTAGTGTATAGATATATGTAGATTGACTTGGGAGAGCCATGTTTGGGTATGGGCTGGTTCGACCGGAGTGGTATCACGGCCTCATATAGATTCGACGTAAAATAACAGTTATGTTCTGTTTCGTCATGTAAGCGATAAAAATTCAAGGGTACTGGAGACTCTATCGTCTCTTCAACTCCAATCTCCAACACACTTGTACCTTACAAATGTGTTGTCGGACCTCTAGTGTTACGGGTGCCTACGTGCAGCGCTAATTGTTTACCCATCAGGTGATGCGTCTACATTTGCCGCCCTAACTTACTGCAATATCTTACCTTTTCATCAGCGACAGCGCGTCTGAACAATCTGACACGTTCTCCGTGTGCAATCATATGAGGCGTCTTTTGTACTAGTACCTGTAAAAAAAACAAAACAATCGTTAACTGCCAAGTTAGGTTAGCCAACAACAACTCTATTTGTCATAGAAATATCATTCTTATTCTATAAGAATTTAGTATTGTATACTTGATTTCGTATCTAGTAGAGAAGTAGGAATTTACCTCTTGGAAGGTAAGTACTTACTTGTTGCGGTTTCTTCCCCTTCTCGAGGTCGGCCATGAACTGTCCCTCCCGTATGTCCCTGACGAGCCAGTGGTTGGCGGGGGTGTACGCGCGCCGACAGTCGCGCCGGTACAGCACCAGCAGCAACGTGTGCAGCGAACTGAACAACTCGTTGCTTTGGATGGTTTTGAGATCTGAGCGGGTGAAGGTACAGTTGCGAAAACTGATTATTGTTCATTCAACCCGAAAGTTACATATAAAAATTCACAAGATTTCTTAGTAGGTTCTAGAAATAGGCAAATTGACTTTAAACCAAAGTTTCATATAAAAATTGTTAGGATTACGTAGTAAGTTCTAGACAGAGGCATTGATTTTATAAATACTTAAAGGGACGACTTTAAAAATACGATCTTTCAAGTTTCAACAAAAATTATTCCATGGTATTGAATACCAAGTTTTAATTAAGACTTTGATATTATGCCTAGTAAAAGAGTGTGCTTACCAAACAATTGTCCCATAATGGACTTGTAGACAAACATGTTGAGGAACTGCGACATGTTGATAAAGTCTTGCAACTTGAACGGGTTCTGTTGCTCATACATCTCCATGTCGTCCAATATCCTTTGAACAAATAATTCCGTTAATATGTACATTTTTTTAAAAATAAAAAGAGTTCTTGGTTACGAGTGTGAAAGCTGGTTATAAAGGTTGGAAACAAACTCGTTGGAAAATTTAGTTTGGACACATCATAAAATAAGCTTATTATTTCGAAATTCTTATTGAATCTGCAGTGAATTTAGTACGGAGATCAGAATTTGATAAGGTTTGTCCTTCCTGGTTATAATAACAATAACAACTGACGAAATTGGGGGGCGGGGGCACTTCAGTAAGTAGGTACACTTGGCTACCCGTTCAGGGAAGAACAGATGTGATTTAATCTTCATTGCTTCATTGATATATGCTACTTACTATGTGCTAGCACAAAATACACCCTACTTGACTTTTCAGTTTTAATACTTACGTAACATAATGCGTCATGCAGTCTGCGAAGAGTATCAACATTTGGAACTCCGGCGCAGACGTCTTCGTGTTAACAGCTAAGAGATCTAAGAACGATTTCAGCCCACAGTTTGGTCCCAGTGTACACAAAAATTGCCATAACGAATACAATATTTCATCTTGATTACATAACCCTGAAAAAAAAAACAGTATTACAACATAATATCACGCCTTTTATCCCCGAAGGGGTAGGCAGAGGTGCACATTACAGTACTTACTGCCACTGTAAGTACAATGTAACATCCACTAATCACTATTTATGTTATGAGTCCCATGTAATAGGGGGTGAGCCTATTGTCATATACTGGGCACAATTCCAGACTCCGTGCTATTACAAAGAAGTTTTTATAAACCCAGTAAAACTTTGTCCAACCCAACAAGGCAGTCAGTAAAAACAGAATATTATTATAAATCTCAATATTTTAATAGCCAATGCCGAGACTGCATTTTATCGTGTAATTTAGCCGGTAGTAAATTTTTCGCGTCTCTCGACTGTGCTTATGGTCTGCATAGTAGTAAGTTCCACCATCTTACATGGTGTAAATAAATGGTTTTTATTTCTTTCTATCTCTACATTTCAAAACTGTACTGTACCCACAAAAATACAAACATCGGACATTTGAAAACAATTATATTTTTTGATATAGATCAAGATTAGATTTTGTCTTTGTAGGATCCGAATCAAAATATTTTGCGTTTATAATCTGTAACAGGGCTGTCCAAACAAAGACCCGCTTGTTTCCATGTGGCCAGCGACACACATTTTAATCTCAACATCTTCATCTTATGTGCAACAACAATAATAAAATTCAGTGTATGATTTGTATGCAAGCTTTGTCTGTGAGTAACGAACACAATGTTAAACGTCGCTATACAACTGAAAATATTTTCTGACCCTTCAGCTTTTATAAGAAAGAAAGAAAAGAAAGAAAGAAAAGAAAGAAAAGAAAGAAAGAAAGAAAAGAAAGAAAAATCGTTTATTTGCACACCGTCACAAGGTACAATAACACAAAAAAATAAAATAAAAAACAATACAGTAAAGACGGCGCAAAAAGGCCAGAGCTCAGCTTAAATGCCGTGACACGAGTGTGCTCGAGTCGCGATACGATAAACTAATTAAATATAAGAAATTTAATTAGTTTAGGCACCTCTAATCTGTAATTATCTCTAAAAAAGAGAAGACAGATATTTACTAACCTGTAAGTATATCAAGTTTGACCTGCGTCATAGTCAGCAGCGCCGTGTGGTACATGGAACATATGAGCGCCGTCTTCGTGCAGTCCGGCGAACCTAACTTCCTATAGTGTTTGTTTGCGTTAGATCTGAAACAATACGGAATACTTTATGTCATTGTCGGATTCTGCTTACAAATAATTCATTTATAAACTACGTTTAAAAAACTGACTTCAACCCCTCTTTTTCGAAGTCGGTTCATTGATTAATTTTCTGAAAACCGCATCGAAATCGTTTTAGCCAATCGCGAGATAATTGCGCACAAAAATACGGAATATGAATATGTCATTGTCGGATTCTACTTTAAAATAATTCATATACATATAAACTACGTTTAAAAAACTGACATCAACCTCTCTTTTTCGAAGTCGGTTAATTGAACTCCCGCATCAAAATCGGTTCAGCCAGTTGCGAGATAATCTAGCACAAACATACATACATTCAGACCAACCTGAGAACTTATTTGATTTACCTGTTAGTTCTAGCCTCGATAGCTCTTCTAATGATAGCAGCAGGATTGTTACTCTGTACCGGAGTAGAAGGCTGCGACGGTCCTGCGCCCTCCTCACCAGTCACTCCTGCATCTATCATGTCCTTCAGCGGTGTTGCCAACAACTTCTTCAATAACGGAGCTGCCCATAACAAAGACAGTTGGTTCCGCAAATTCCCCATAGCGGGGGGCAGGAAGTTGTCCAAACCTTGGGAAAACCAGCCGAGGATAGGGTGCCAGTTGCTCAAGTTACCCTTTTTGCAGACCACGTATTGTTGACACGAGTCCAGAAACCGTGTTACCACCAACTGCAAACATATTTAAGTTTTAGAATAACATCTGATAAAATGGTGGTTTTCTAAGTTTAGTTTTTTATTTGCGTAACTGGACTTGGTATCTTTCACCACTTGTTCATAATAGTTACCACAAACGTAGGATGGTAGGTCTCCGGCTGTGCATGGTCCCGCTCGCAGTGCGCCATCTGCACGAGGTTGGCGAGCAGACACAGCGCGTAGTTGCCCTCCAACGTGTTGAACACGATGCGCATGTTCTGGTCTGTGCTCAGGAACTCCAGGCACTTGTCGAACATTGAGTACGACCGGTATGACGACATCGACTGTAAAATAAATATATTAGAGTTATAATTTATCGAAATTAGTTAAGCAGTTTAGGTGCGAAAGTAAAATTAACGAAACGGAATTACTTGTTGGGATTAAATTAATAAGAAAAGAGCTGCTTTTGACCATAATGGTGTTTACATTTAAATAACTTATTTATGACAACACACTGGTGAAGTTCGTTCTGGACACATTACTCAGACTGTGGATACCTCAGTTCAAGCCACTTAAATGTGCTTTTTCAAAAATATATTGATTCGTCTGTTGAAGAATATACAGCTTTATGTATAAGATGCACAATAGAAAATACATTATACCAATTTCCTCTAAATGGGTTACCTTAAAACTAGTATTTGTAAAGCATGTTACTCACCTCAGGAGATATGAGCTGCATGTGGTACACAAGGGTGGGTACAGACAGGATCTGTATGATGTACATAGTGAGCAGCTTCTCCGAGAACTGGGCAGACACCAGGGGACGCAGTGACAAGGTCACTATAGCAGTCAGAGAAACATTCTTCAGGTATACCTTCTCACGACATAGCCCGCGGAGTAGCAGAGACTGGAATGAAAAGATAAGAATGGTGTTCCTGAGAAAATACTTCTATTTTCATTTATTACTACTAACTTTTACAATGTTTATACCAGTAGGTAGCATTTATGCATTGCTCTCAATAATAGGATAACTTAACAACACTAGCTAACTGTAATATCTTATGCGTACAGTGGAGGACACATCCACCTGAACTGTTAATGTTTGCACCTGATGAGATCCGCTTCATGACTTTGTATTAACGAATGAAGCGGGGTGGTGGGCGGGGATGGCTTCGTTTTTTTATTAGTTGAGATATTTATGGGGTATGGCCGGATTCCAGCAATAATATTATTAAATGATCAGGTAAATCTGTCTTCCACTGTACTTGTTAAATTCATTTGTTCTTAACCTTATAAAAATTGATATTCTGTGTACTAAACTGTTTTTTTAGCTTCTTTCATTTTTAAGTAAAAGTAACTTTAAATTTTCAAAGTTCTATCTATTAGTATTCTATACTAGAACTTATAAATTATAATTATCTATACTAAGCTGTTAAAAGACCTTAATAGACAAGGTTCAAGATTACTAATTACAGAAGTGATTACATTAATTAGTAAATACCGACATTGGACAGTCGATAACATGATACAAATTATCAAAGAAACAGTTAAGTGGTATTTGTATCCGTAAACAATTAGAGATTCACAATGACCCTAACTGGTAACATAATACTACGTGTTATAATAATAACAAATATATTTACTATTCACAAGGCTTATTGATAAAGGTATAACCTTGCCATTTTGTATGTTATTACTAGCTGGATAGAGTTACAATTTGCTTGGGCACTAATCATCAATAGACAAGCAAAATGATTTTGGAATAGGAAGAACTGATAAAAATATTTTTCTAAACAAGTCTCTTTATCTCATTTTTAACAAGTATGTCAAATGTTAAAAAAGTAACATGCTTGCATCCTGTTTGGTTTGATTAATGGACAGTTTGTGTGTCATGCAAATTATACAATTAGGGTGAGTGACACCGTACCATTAGTAGATTACACTTAATTTAGCTGGGAATTACAAAATAGGTTGACACTGAGGCTCATGACGCGTTCTATGTTTATTTCGAAATTACACTAATATTATAAATTTCTCTTTGTTTAGATTTTTGTCTGTCAAACACGCTGAAACTACTAAACGGATTTGAATGAAATTTGGTTTACAGGTACTTTTTATCCCGTTTAAATTGGAATAAAACAGGAATCATATTCTATGCGAACGAAGTCGCGGGCAACGGCCAGTAGAACATAATTTTATTAAACCTCTATCTTTGCATTTTAATGGAATTTTGTAAAACATATCCCAAGTTTTTGTCTTGTTTTATGGTTGTGTTTGCAATACTAATTTCTGGATTAGTGTGTCAACCATACTATTAAATTTTTAGTGTCAAAATACAACAAAGTGTATCAAACCTGTATAATAAACAGCCACTCACCTTCAGAGTTAAATAATATCCTTTATGGAAGAGTGATCCCATGACATTAGCACACAACTGAGTCATCCCACCCCTGAGCTTCTCAAAATTCTTCAACCGAGTGAGCGCCCAAGTATTGTTGGCAGTGAATGCTACTAGTGTGTGAAGGTGGATGAGGATGCTCTGCATGTCTATTGGAGACTCTGGCTTCAGCTCTTCGAGGTACTGGCAGCATTTGTACAGGAGATCCTTGATGTGAGCTATCCAGCGGAGACTGAAAATAAGCATAAAACTAATGTAATATTTCAGTTTCAGGCAATTATTTCAATACTTATAGCTATTTTTTTTAAATAATGTTGCCCCACACTAGAATTTTCTCCTGTATACACATCACACCCAGACCCGAAACAACAATTTATTAGTCACTATGGACAAAAATGTAGTACACTATATCTTTTAATGCAATTTGGCTTCACATTTTGTCCAAATACTCATAATGTTATACAATCCAATTTTAAGTTGACTAGTGAGGCAGGATAATTAATATGTGCCGCAAATAATTATTGAGTATAGAAAGAAAACTACGAACATAACATTAAATCACGCCTTTTTATCCCCGAAGGGGTAGGCAGAGGTGCACATTTCGGCACCACTGTACAATGTAACACCCAATTTTCACTATTTATACACCGTTAAATTTTAGTCGTTTTAATCCCATGGACCTGTGGTTTAACTAACAGAATACTACTCATTACAAGCTTGTACTGCGGTGTAACATAAAAAATAAATAAATTAGCAAATGATAAGATTATACTCGCAAAATGTATGAAACCATAAGTTGCGCCACGAGATAGTTACAGACCTACGTCGTCGTCGGTCGTTGGGTATCGGGCAGTGTAGGTACCTACATGGCCCGATCGAGCATAAGGTCATTGACTCGATCAACTGATGTTTGCGTAGGTAAACAAATAAATTGATTCCAAATTTTCCTTCATACTTTTAGGGGCTTAGGACCGACATAACTGTACTAACACTCGGCCAACGAGACAGTCAAACAGAAAACTCTGTTCATAATAATATTATTCACACTTAAATTAAGATGTAGCTACCTATTATGAATCATTATTCTGTAACAGTAATAAACTAAACATGTTATCCTTATTAGACACATTCATTAGAATCAAGCGCTAATAACTTGATGCATGAATCTGTTAACAAGTCTATTTTATCTAATAACACAGGCCAAGCCAAATATTTTATTAATATTTTTAGAATAAACAAAATTGTACTAGTTATTCTGTTCTGATTATAAAATTTGAAAAGTTTGTTATGTACTTGTTTTACACTGCAGTGTAAAACTAATGCATTCAGTACATTGTTTCGAAATCCAATGCAACCAATCAATTACACATATAATGCATATATTTTCAATGAAGTAAATAAAATTGATGAACAACAGTTATTTTTTTAATAAAGTATTAAATTCAAGATATTCAACTTCATTGCATGTTTCCAATTTAAGTAGACTGACTTAAAATTCATAATTAATTATTATGTTAACTAGACTAATATAATGAATATTCTAAATCAATATGAAAGTGAAAATTGTGTAAGGCGTGCATATGTTTAGAATTATCAATTAATACTTATCTGTATAAGAAACTAATTACATTCAAAGTTAACTCGTCGAGTACCGGTTTTATAGACACAATTAAAGAACAATAGGTCGCGGTCACCGGTGACCGCTTGGTGTTTGACAGATTAAGTAAGACTTACTGTTACTTCATAACAGTAAGTTTTAAGGCACATAATCATTGCTTGCAGATTAATTAACATAACTTTTTTAATACCATAATGTTAGACGATTTTTGGGCTAAATAGCTGTGCACACATAAGGGTGGTAAAAATTACAATTCTTTGTAATATCATGAACCCTGTTGATATCGTATTAAAATCTTAGTAATTTAGGATATATTGGAAAAGATACCAGAACAGTTATTTTTGTATAAGTAAATAAATGAAACATACCTGTACTCTTTATTCAGGAAGACTCCTACATAAGATAGTTTAACAGACTCTGAGTGTAAGCTCTGAACAATATATCTGCAGAGGTTTTCAAATCTCTTGCGGTCTCTTTGCTGTTTGAACACCAGGAACAGCCTGCATGTCACACGGTAGACTTCTAATGCTGGAATCAGTTCCACTGGCTGAGGGGGCTCATCCTGTGAGCCTTGGTTTGATGTCTCAGGGAGGAGCTCGTCGAAATCGTTTCTAGAAAGAGGATAATTGTAGGATTGTAGAATGAATAATTCCATTCAGAAGTATTTTAGATGTTCAGATAGAAGAAATGTAACTGAGATTACAAAAGAACTTATTTACTTAATTAAATATAACGTTTTAAATGGAAAACTTACAGTATACGTATGACAAATTTTTTTCTTTCGAGCCATCCTCTGACAACTGCTTGGATCCTGGTAGCAGACTGCTCTCGTTTCTTCTCGAACGCGCGCTCTTCGCGAGCTGCCTTCGCCTGCTCCAGGAACGAGTCCTTGGTCGTCTCGTAAGACTTGGAATACATTATCTTTCAACTGATCCTATCGCACTCAACACAATTATTTCGCTTTGTTTCCCTTTTTCGTCTACCTGTCAGGACATCAAGCTGCACCGATGCATCGTATAAACCAAAGCTATCTCCCGTTACGCATTGTTAATGACTGGAAAGCACTCTAAACCAAGTTTCTAAATCATTTTTGCAAACTAATTACAATTGATTTTATTAGATTTACGGTTTATTTTAGAGAAGCCCTGGGGTAGAAATTTGTTATTTTGACATTGTTTTCGATGTTGCCAGACCATCATGGTTACCATAATGAATAATAAATAATACCAGCACTAAATATTAAAGTTACTAAATACCAAATACCTTTTTTCAACTAAAACTATATATTATTATTTACATTAAGTATTTATTTTAATATGAAAGAATCAACTATTAGTAAAAATATGTTTGTTTAAGTTTATGGCATTCTTTTCCGTTTCTTCTAATAGCAACATTGTAAAAGGGTTGCCACTTGTAAGAAGAAAATTACCCATCTCATATTTGCGGGAAAATTAAATTTGAAAAATTCCCTGAATTTTCGTTATCATTTACTTAAATTATTAAAACACTTCAATATTTTGTTATTTATTTTTTTATAATTATTAAGTATAAAAAAATCAATTGTCAGCTCTTCGATGGGGAGGGACCCAGTTGAAATGACCATTATCATGCATTTTATGAACATTTTTACGTATTTCTTTCATTTTCCCGAAATTACCAAAAATAATAACTTAAAATAATCACATCCATTTTCGTTTTGGCCAAGCAAAATTATGAGTTCTGCGCAACAAAAGGCTAAATTGTAAAAAAAATTAAAACAATAGGATTTATTTAATAATATTAATATACATTAAGGAAAGAACCGACGCCATTTTAAAACTGTAAAACAAATAGCTATATCTACAGACCTATGTTATAATCCGAGATTATATTATATCAATGATGAGTTTACAGAAAATCTTAGCGGACTATAATTAAAGTATTATAACGCTTAGGCCTACTGTCTACATTGTATCATTTGCCGAAAGCATGCATTCGTCAATAAATAGTTCGTGGATAGTTTTCATTGTTTCTAAGCGAGATGCAAGCATTTGTTATTTGTAGGCCTCCTATTGTTTGTGAAGGATGCATGCATTCGTCAAATGTTGCAACGTGGACAGTTACGTTAACTACATTACCTTACACCCAAATACTGAAGGACTACTCAATTTTAAATTGTACTTTAATATCGTTCCATCTCTGTCATTTTACAAAGAATTTGTAGGGACAGAACTATATGTACTTACCTACATTTAAAGTTGAGTTTGAGTATTTCAGCGTTAACAGCGTGGAAGCTACTTACGAAACCATACCATGAACCAAACCTTGACAATCTCTCAAACATATTTGACGTATCAGGATGGTCAGTCACGTAAGCACCCAAGGGATTAGTCATAGCCTCTGACTTCCTCAGCTAATTGTCAAGATCCTGTTGGTAGTGATAGCCTTCCGGTGATTAGCAATGACTAATGATAACCACCATTGTAGGTGAACCCGACTGATAATAGATAGTGACAATTTTTGCACAATACATGATAAGTGATAAGAGAGGCATGTTAGGTCTACTTTGTAATGAACTGAAGTTACTATCGGGTTATTCATTAGGTCCCTAGTTGCATGCCAAGGGTTCGTTAAGAAAGTGTTGGGTAGCGAAATTCCAAACAATGGCGTCATATTTTTGTTCACAAAATGGAATGATTAAAAAGAATATTACGTCACTGCACTGTACCTATCTACCAACTTAAAGCTCTATAATTTTGCAATAAATAGTTTTTTTATGGGATAAGTAAGTCGGTAAACGAGCAGACGGATCACTTGATGGTAAGCACACATGGACACCCGGAACACCATAGGCGTTACAAGTGCGTATCCGCTAACAGCTCACACATAAGACCCACTTAGTTTTTAGCCAAATTTCCGTGGTACTTGGCGACTGGGTTTCACTCAGTTGTACAGTATCTTTTTTGTGCCTTTAGGCTTAATTCATTCTGTCTACTGCAGTAATTCACCGAGGGAAGTGGATACTATCGTTTTTTTTCTTCTCCTCTTATAATATCTTCAGATTCACTTCGTTGCGGTAACCAAGACAGTTATTCATGTCCTTGGGACGCGCCGGACTTCAGTGTTCCGGTGTTTTTATCTACTCTAGAACCTGGCTTATAGAAGTTGCAGTGGTTTTGGGATGTTGTAGCGGGCTTATCTCATAAAAAAAAGTGCGTATCCGATACTCGATAGTGATATCCGCGATATGCATACATCTATACGTTTCTCTACTTCTGTTAATAGGTAGTAAGTACGTAATAGGGGGTGAGGGTGACCTTGTGGGCTTGTTCCCAAGCATTTGATTAGGTAATTTCTTCAATATTATTAGATACTGCCTACATATAGGTAATAAAAACGTCGCAGTTACTTACATTCCTAACACAAGTTACAAACTTGCAATTTCACCGAAATAGTTAATATCTAGATAGGTATGGAGACTGTCTAAACGAAACTAAAGAGTTTCGTACAAAATTGCACAATTTCTTCAATCTAAATAGCCTTTGATATTCAGTCAATCCGAATCGAATCACGAAAGCCAATAAATAAAACGGTTTGGCCACGCCACATTTACTTTCTCCGATTTTTTGTTCCTTTCTTTTTGCGGATCGGGATTTAAAAAAAAACAAAAGACTTCGATTAGCCGCCTGTCCTTTTGGTACAAGCAATAAATGTCAACTAGGTATAGAGAATGGGTTGTTTATAGTATTTTTTTACCTATTTTAGGTTAGAATTTTATGGCTTTTAATGGTTGTACCCACCGACTTTTTATTGGGTAGTTGACATGATTTTAAGTTGATTTAATTAATTACACATCTTAGACAGGTTCATTTGATGTAGCGAAATATTGTCACATTGAATAATTTAACGTAATTTGCCTATTTTATAGCTTTTTAATCGAAGGGGTAGGTAGAAGTGCACTACATGTGGCTTTTTTTTATTTTTATAAAAATGTGTGGGCAAGTCATCTAATGGCTGCTCCGGCCTGGGTGAGGCGGGAGGGAGTGTCAGACTCTTACTGACTAAAAACCACCCCGTTACTTCTTCTGCACTTCGAGTCGGAGCCCCGGTAACCCGTTAGGTTCTCCGCGATTCCGAATCGGCATCAGCCCTATTGGTGGTCTGAGGCAGCGCTTCGCTGCCTCACGCGTCCTGCCTCCTCCTTAGCTAGCATGACTGCTTCACTATATGTGGCTTATGAAAGAAGAATTGTTTGACTGCTTAGACATAGCTTTAGCTAGTGAAAAAAGAGTTAGGGCGTGCGGCCAAAGTGTTGCGTTGAAGCTAGATTAACAGTCAATAATCAAATTCAAGACATTTTGATTCTGTTCAGTAAACATTGTTGTTTCATCTACAAAATAAATACTAAGTATATCTATCCCAAATATTTACCTGTATATCAAACTAGTTATTGTGTTTTTTGATAATAATGAATTTAGTATAGGTATGTCTCACGAAAGTTATAATGTAAATTTACCTTTACCTGTTACTTCATGATCAATATCACCATTGGGCTATTGTATTCCATTGCTGGACTTAAGCACCTCTTTCAGTGTAGCGCCAGAACTCACGATCATGTCTCAGTACTTAGACACTTTTTTACTGAACATTTTCTCCCACATTCCATTAGCATTTTCCCCGTCTCAAATAATAACTGTTCCGTAATAAAAGTATACTTTGTCCGTACACCTGTCGCACCCTAACTTGCCCCAATAGATACAGCATGCTAATTAAGTATATTGCTTATCCTAAAAAAATAAACACCGTTATGTTAATACACCCCGTCAATTTGATGGTTTAGTTGAAGGGTGAATGGTTTTTATATTTCTATTCTTTATGGGGATAGTCATTTCAAAGATCTTTAAACTTTTTCATGTAAGTAGATATGATTTTGATATTTATGAAATTTTTATTGAACATAAAATATCACCAGGGGGGGATGACAGTGCTGTTTTTTTTGCAGTAAGTACTTGTTCCGTTATGTTTTAGCTATTGTTGCAGAAGTGAGCACGTATCGCGTTCCGCGCGCACCTTAAAGAGCCATCAGACCACCGCACATGGGTCCAATAGGGCTGATGCCGATACGGAGCCGCGGAGACGTTAACGGATTGCCGGGCTCGAAGTACAGTAGTAGGAACGGGGAGGTTTTTAGTCAGTAAGAGATTCGTTTCGGCGGGAGAAGTAATTAATTGGATGATTTTCCTCCCTCAAAAATAAAACGTGCTACTACGGGGAATTTTTGGGGCATTGCACTTTGCGCACCTAAATGAAGCGCACCCAGACGAAGCGCACCTAAAGGATTCCACTTTGCGCACCTGTAGGTGCGCTTAAAATAAAATTTTTAAATAAATAGTTTTTCTATGGCGATGACTAGGTAGAGTAGACCTAGTCATCGCCTTGGGGCGGGTTGTAATGCTAAAAAACAATAATCCCAACATAGCACCTCCTCCTTTTTTGAAATCGGTAAAAAGAATACTTGACTGACTCATTGGTCATAGGTGAGTCATCGAACTTTAGGAAACCAATTATGTTCGCTAACGTTTGCTTTGTAATATAAGACAATGGTTTAGGGGAATTAAATAATGATATTTAAATGAACTTATCTAGGGGTGAAGCAATGTGGTTAACCTAATTGAAAATTGTGTAAAAAACTAGAATGTTGCATAAATACTTAACATATTTTAGTCGACTTAAAAAAAAGGAGAAGATTAGTTTGACCTGTATGTACTATAAGTATGTGACTTGTGTATATGTATGTACGAATATCTTTGTTCGCGAGTATCTCGCGATTGACTAAACCGATTTTGATGTGGTTTTCAAAAAAATGTATTACACTTAGGAATTTAGTATATTAACCGACTTCAAAAATGTTAAAAAGAAGGTTGAAGTCGGTTTTGTAA